AAGTCTTAGCAACAGCAAAAGGAGAATCAAGGTTTTAGAAGAAGGAGAGGAATCTCGGAAATTAGACGAAAACAGAAACGGGAAGCAGAACTTGAGGAAAACAGAATGAGTTTCAACCCCCCGAGAGCAGGCTCGTATTTATAGTTGGCGATGGAAAGCCGAAACGGTAAAGTTGCATCGAGAGTCGTAACCATCAGGGCTTTTCGAATTTCGAAACTGCCGCCAAAACCGCACAACCACACAACGACACGTGGACACCTACTAAACATAGGTACTAGCCGCTGACGTCACTAGTGTCGCGCACCGCCTGGGGGGCATGGCACACCCATGAAGGAGAAAAAACACCCCCAAAATCCAGTCTCAATCAAAGCGTCACGCGCAGCCGGCCCCTGGGAACCTCACAAACACGAGTCAATCACCCGGAAATCAAACAGGCATCAGCTCGGATACTCGCGCAGATCGGGCTATTCGCGCAAAAGTCGAGCGGGAGCCACCCCGTAAAATCACACGTGAATCACGCATATCCAAGGATACTCGCGCAGACCGGGCTATTCGCTCAAAAGTCGAGCAGGATCCACCCCGAAGAATCACACGTGAATCACGCAGATCCGAGTCAACCGCGCAAAAAAACAAACAGGCGGCATTCGTGGAATACCTCCTGATGGGGGGCAATTGTTGGGTATATGACTCGGATCTCGCCGCGCCAGGGAAATACCTCAAACGGCGCCTTCATAAAAGCCAGGCGCGCCAGTACCGACGCGACCATGACCATAACCCACGCCCGAGAGCTGCGCCCGAACACAGAACGACGACGTTCGGGTCAGGCGTTGACCGAAACCACGAAAACGACACCGCGTCCCCCCGAGGAGTGGTCACCATCATAATCCTAAACGACGACGTTCGGGTCAGGCGTTGACCGAAACCACGAAAACGACACCGCGTCCCCCCGAGGAGTGGTCACCATCATAATCCTAGTTATGGGCTAAACGTCCTTTCCAGGTAGAGTTGTGGCCTAAGTCCCTGTCATGTCAGTGGTCATGTCATCATGTAACTCACCCACCACCATGTAGCCTATAAATATGGCATTTACTCTGGTGGGTGAGGGGATCGCATTTTTGGGACTCTATCTCTACAACTATCCACTTCTCTCTCTACAACATTGCATTCTCAATCTCAATTCTCCTTAACCTCCGTTCTTCAACCTATAGTTGATTCTTGTTGCTTGCTCTTCTTGACCCCCTTTCTTCCCCCGAACCTCACTGCTACACTCAGTTAGGTTCAAACAAAAATATATTTTTTTATGAAAGTGATGAACTAAATTAAAGGTGAAAGCAAAAACCAATGCCCAGCGCTCCACAAGTAGTGAGAGCGTACCAGCAAAAGGAAAAAAAGGAAAGAAACAAACATTGACTGGTAAGTTCCATATAAAATATTGACTGGTATTTTACTTTATTTCTCCACTAATGTTAAGTGTAATAGCATGTCAATAGTAATTAATTATTTGAAATTAATTATTTAAAAAACAAATAAATTTATACTCAGATTATCAATTTATTTCATTAAATATGAATACTAAATATTAAATATGAATGCTAAACATGGTATACGGGTTTATACTTGTGTAACACCATAACAGATGAAAGAAATAAATCGATTTGACAACCGTAAAAAATAAAAGTTTTAAACATATAAAATACACACATTTATATTTACGGTTGTACCAATGGGTCACAAAATAGATGCTACGGTGCTGCCTTCTAGGATGATGATCGGAAGATTACAAAAGGAATTTCTTAACAATTAATTAGTTTGTTGTGCTACGAGTCAAATTCATTTTGAGAAATTAAACAATGACTTAGCCAGAATATTCTAAATTAAGGAGTGTCTTTCTTTATTAATAAGTATATATATAATAAACCATGGAGTATTCTTCGTTGATCTTATTTGATGGACGATTGGTTAGGGAGAGTCAATGTTTAATCATATGGGGAGCCTGGTTGTTCTTTTGTCGTTTTCTCAATGTTTAATCTTATTTGATTAACCAACAAAAAAAATTCTTATTTGATGGACGAACCAGTGTTTTTTATATAATAATGGTGAATATGATATAAATTAGAATAAAAAGTGCAGAAACAATACATAAGAGATGGTGGAGATCACAAGATCTGATCTCGAATAACCGGGGAAAAAAACTAAAAAGAAAAACGAAAATCAAAAGGGGAGAGGAACGGAACAGGTGAGTAATCTTATGATGAGTAACTATGATCAGGGAGCAGATCCGGTGAGTAACCTTGTGGTGAGTAACCCAATAAGAATCTGCCACATAAGCGCATCCTTCTCTCTCCTGGAAAAGCATTAATTTTCTTTCCCTTAATCTTTAACGGACTATTCTCACTCGTTTTAACTCAGAATTTAATTTTTTTGCACAGTTAGATCAGATTAATTGTGCTCTTCAAAATGATATCCACTTTGATATTTTTTGGAACTTCAAAATGATATCCACTTTGATATTTTTTGGAACCAAAAAAATTTGTCAATTATTACCAGTCAATACCATATAGTATAGTCAATACCATATGGTATTGACTGGTATTAAATAACAGCATATCATATGGTATGAAAAATACCAGTCAATACCATATGCTGTTATTTAATATCAGTCAATACCAAATGGAACGTGGAATCTGCGTCAGATGTTGAGATAGACGCCACATCTTTGAGAATTTGGTAGTATTCTTCTTCAGTCTTGGCGCCAGTTAAGAGAGCGCTGATTGAAGATTTTGTTTGCAAAAATTGCGTTGAGAATTTTTCGATAACTTTGGACAATTCAGGATTGTTATTGGTATTGATATCTTGTTTTATTTTTGCATTAGTAATATTTTCCCGTGGAATACATTGGTATTATTTTGACTGAACAAGGCAAGAAAAAAATTAAGAAAAAGAAGGAATATAGATCTGGCTGGAGATCGCTTGAATGTGAAAAAAGATAGAGAAAATTGTAATTAATATGTTTTTTTTTTTTTTTGGTAGGAATTGTAATTAATATGTTGGTATAACTTACTTAAATATAATTTATTTAAAAAAAATTAAATTTTTTTCATATCCAATTTGTCTTATTAAAGTAAAGTAAGTAGATGGGCTAAAAGTCGTTAGTACCCACGCATTAATTATTACAATAAATAAAGACCCATTAAATTAACGTTTACCATAAAGACCATTGTAATAAGCATTATAATTATCAACGGCAAACAGGATACCTAAATATCACAATATAAAGACGATAATGTATTCCAACGAACATTCAAATATATTTCAAATATATTAAATGTATATTTAGGGTAGTATCCGAAGTTTTCATTTTCAGAGAAGATCATTCCAAACATATTAAATTGAGAAGACGAAAAGGAAGAATATTTTAAGAAATCAAGCACATAAATTGGGGAATATAACATCTGCCTTGCTAGATCAGGTTCTGGAGATGAATTACCCGAAGATTCGAGATCGATGGATACATATGGTGGAGGGCAGAGGATACGGGCCGCGTCCAGTAGTCTCGTCGGACCAACAACGACTGGAAAGAGGGCGGAGCGGAGGAGGATCTCCATGGGAAGTAGGAGACAAGTGGTAGAGGTAGAGAGAACGAGGCGGCAGTGCAGAGACAAACGGCGGAACGGAGGAAGATCAAAGATCTACATGAGATGGAGATAAACAGGGGGTAGAGAGACAGAGAGGGTGAAGGGATGTAGTGAATCAGGGAAATCTAAAACTTATCGTCAGTCGCTCAAGATTCGAATTTTGTTTTCAAATTTCGAATTTTGGATTTGATTCAAATTTCGGAAATTAGGGATTGAAATTAGAAATTCTAAAAGAATTTTTCAATTTCAAAACTTTGGAAACGATAGACATTTGGATCTCCCTCTTTTTTTGGCGTGTGGGGAGACAAATCAGACACATATATGGTACAACCGTTCAGTCATTCGGTCCCACAGTCCACTAATTAAATCAATCAACGGATCCGAGACGTCCATTGCGTGTGCAGCAGATCTGAGCCATTGGCTTATCCGTTCTCCAAAAATCAAGTGGTGGACGATAACCGGGCTCCTCACCCACCACCATACGTCACCATCACTGCCCTTCTCCATTCTCCCCTCCCCCTCTCGCTGCCCCTCCCACGCCCTCCCCTCCTCCCCTCGTAGGGCCTCCCCTCTCACTCTCTTTTCGGGAGACTGTCGAGAAAGAGAGATACATAAAAAATGTAGATATGATTTTTTTACTTGTTCATTATTTTATTTTATGAAATAGTATTTTTTTATTTTTCGTCGGTATTGATTTATTTTTGTAATTATAATATTTTGATTTCATCATAATAGTGTTATTGGTTTATTTTGGTATTCGTTTGAGTTTTGTAATGGTATAGATTGTTTATATTGGTAGTTTTAGAGTAATGTTATTGTTTTTCATCATGGTATTGATTTTTTTCTGCAATAGTATTGTTTTTTTTCGAAGCGGTAGTGGTTGTCTACTAGATGTTGATGTCCTGTTTTATTTTTGCATTAGTATTATTTTTTCCGTGGAATACAGTGTATTATTTCGATTGAACAAAGGCAAGAAAAAAATTGAGAAAAAGAAAGAATATAAATCTGACCGGAGATAGCAGGAATGTGAAACTAAGATAGAGTAAATTGTAATTAATATGTTATTCGAACTTACTCAAATATAATTTATTTAAAAAATAAATAAATAAATATTTTTTTCTTATCCAATTTGTCTTACTAATGTAAAGTAAGTAGATGAGGCTAAAAGTCGTTAGCACCTCCTACACGCATCAATTATTACAATTAATAAAGACCCATTAAATTAACGTTTACCAGAAAGACCATTTTAATAAGCATTATAATTAGTCCACCAATAAGGTGCCCCGACCCCGTAACTCGGCCGTCGACCCTCTTTATTTATTTATATCTTCTTCTCTCCCTACCATTAGCATCTAAGCAATCAAACCCAACGCCAGTCAATCAAATCAAACACCCAAAAATGACTAAGGAAACTTACGGAATAGAATACACTCTGTCGTCGTCGGCCGACGATGTCTGGGGAGCCATCTTCGCGGCGACGTCAATCTATCCCAAGTTCCTCCCGGACCTCTACGAGGAAATCAGATCCACCAGGCGCGACGGCTACAGCCAAGGCTCCATCCGCGAGATCACTTATGGCCCAGGTAACTCTTTCTAATACGTCAAGTATCCTAATAACTCGAGTTGTTGAAAAAAGGGTTTGCCAAGCCTTTTTATCTCTTACACATTCTTTGATTATATTATGTTAGATTTCAAGCTGGTGACGACGGCGCGCGAGGAGCTGACGAAGGTAGATCACGGCCAGATGACGGTGTGGTGCACCGTCGTGAGCGGTGAGTTCGTGAGCAAACACTACCGGACGTTCAAGACCGTCACGGCGGTGAAGCCGCGGGAAGGTCAAGAGGCGGGGGAACCGGGGTGTGCTGTGACGTGGAGCTGTACCCACACCGGGGAAGCAGGCTCCATGAGCAAGGAGGCCGTTATCAAACTTGTGAAGAAGACCTTGGATGGCTTGGATTCCCATCTCCAGAGGCTGAGGGAGTAAAGCCCTAAAGCTAAAGTATCATGAACTACTTTGTAATTTTTTTTATATTCATCTGTTCCTTATGAATCATGGATCGGCCTCTGATCTTTGTCATACCTCAAATGCTGAACGATTAATGTACTCATTCGGTTGCCATTTAACATTGTCATGACTCACTCGATCCATTAGCAATACAACAAAAACTTTTTTTTTTCGAAGTTATTTACTGATGTCCTACATGAAACTATATATTGCGAATAGTGTAATATAGTGGTTGAAAACTATATCATCGCCATATGTGTTTAACTAAGTTTTTTTTATCAATATATATATATTGATATATATATATATATATATATATATATATATATATATATATATACATGGTGACTACTTCGGTGCACTCACAAAAATGAATGCGTACAATGCCCCCAACTCAAAAACTAGTCTTAAGGTGTCGGATTTTGAATTTTAATTTGGAGAATTAGTGTAATATGATTATATAACATATGATAACAACTAATTAGCGGATTATCCTAAGCCCTAGACCTCCAATTTTGAGTTCTAGCCCTAAACCCCAAATTTAAAACCCTAACCCTAACCCTAAATCTCTGAACTCTAAATTCTTCAAATTAAACTAAATCTTCAATGGTTTTTGTGCAAATTAATGTGTTTTATTGTTCATCACATCATAAGTGATGATTGACATCATTTTGACATAAATAGCATGTTTAAAATGACGGTCATGAAGCGAGTGCACTGAATGTACCCAAAAAAGTGAGTGCACCGAAGACGCCACCACATATATATGGGGAGTTCTATGGTACCCAGGGTGAAATCCGGGGTACCACATACCTTGAGTAAGAAAACGCTATCCAGAACTTGAATTGACTGATCTTTCGGACACGATACTATACTCTAACCCTTAAAGATGAAAATCTAGGTCTTAATCTCTAAACCTTATACCTCAAGATCAATTTAATTGGAAACAATATTCGACGGTTATGATTCATCCAAATATAGGCAAAAAATCAATGCACCATCTTACGGTTTATAGTTTATGATTTAGATAATTAGGACCTAGGGTTCACTCATTAAGGGTTAGGGTATAGTATCATGCCCAAAAATCCTGCTAATTCGGGGTCTAGATAGAATTTTCATACTCAAGGTATGCGGTACCTCGGATTTCACCCAGGGTACCGTAGAAGGCACCATATATATATATATATATATATATATATATATATATATATATATATATATATATATGTTATATAAACAGGTCGCAACTTAGATGTGATCAACTAAGTTGCCCTTAGGGATGGCAACAGGGCGGGTTTGGTTAAACCATCCACATCCCCGCTGTCAAATATCTATACACATACCCACCCATATTCATGCGGGGAAGGTTTTGCAAACCCATAGCCATGGCTTTCGGGTACCCATGGGTAATACCCGCCCCGTACATCCAACATTATAATACTGAATATTTTACATGTAGATTTTCAATTATAACATTAAACGCACCTACTATATCATAAAGTCGACAAAGAGACAATTAATTTTAATACGATTGAAAGCATCTTATCCTAAAGCATCCATTAATCCATATTAGAGTATAGTACAATATCATCCAAATTATTATTATCTACTCTGATACATCTATTAAGTAATAATTAACAAACATAATTTTCTTAATAAGGGGAAAAAGTGAAAGAGGGAAGGGAAAATTGAGAGAAATAAATTAGATTTTGATTTTGGTTGCCACACAATTGCATTTCTACTATATATTTTTCTTGATTTATACTCACTATTATTGATAGGTTATTAATTGATTTGCATTTTTTTCATATATAAAAAAATATTTTTGGTGGGGCAGATATGGGTATGGGTATGGGACGGAGGAGGCTGAGGGAGTAAAGCCCTAAAGCGAAAGTATCATGAACTACTTTGTATTTTTATTTATTTATTCTTATGTTCCTTATGAATCATGGATCGGTCTCTAGTCTTTGTCATACCTCAACTGCTGAACGATTAATGTACTCATTTGGTTGCCATTTAACATTGTCATGACTCACTCGATCCATTAGCAATACAACAAAAACTTTTTTCTAGTTATTTACTGATGTCCTACATGAAACAATATATTGCGAATAGTGGTTGAAAACTGTACCATCGTCATATGTGTTCAACTAAGTTTTCTTTTATAAATATGTGTTATATAATCAACTAAGTTGCGCTCCGATTATATGGTAACTTTTTCCTATTAAAGTTAATAGAACGAATATAAGTTAAGTGCAAGAAAAACCCATTTTTTGATGGGCTAATAGACTCGGGTAAACTGACTACATCCAAATCGCATGCATATAGTCATTAAATTAGTTTGTTCAACATAAAAACTTATACCCACACCATATCAAGATCATATCTACATTATATCACTATCATATATATACACATCATACAACTGTTAGTAGTAATATTGTGATATGACAATAGTATGATGACCTGAAAAAAAATTTCTCCCAAAAAATCAAAAATAGATATATTGTAGACCACAAAAGAAAACTAATTTTCTGTACAATTTTTTTGAAATTCGATGTAAAATGAATGCACAATGATCCGTTGAATTTTTGTTAGAGATTTGAAAAGTGTTTTAACAGCACACCTGGAGATCCACGCAAAGATAAGAAAAGAGAAGGGAACACACAAGATACTAGCTTATAACCCGACCGGTTGGTCGGAGGTAGCTGAGTCGAATATTGAATTATTGGTATGAACGTAATAATGCTCTCGACTCATGTATATTGTGAGGGAAACATCTCATTAGTCACTTGTCCTTAGTTGGTAATGGAATAGGGAATAAGTTACGTGAATTTGTTTCGGTGTTTAGGATAGCAAAGAAGACTGCATAAATGAGACCTACTTCGAGTTAATTAAACTTAACATCTAGCAAGTCTTCATTGTATCTATCAGACAGGCAACGACAACACTTCAATTCGAATTGGATAAGAGATTTCCAGGAGTAGGTAAACCCCTTACAGTGGAAAAGGTAATTAGAAGAAAGATTAAAATTTGGAAGTCAAGAAATACAAATTTAATTATCCAAATTGAGATGAAGACTAAAATGTTGATGAAAATCCAAATGTAGCCTGTTTGCAAAATATTCAGGCATGAAACTCACTTAAAAAGAAGAAAACATATTATATGTGTCCTTATGGTTTGTGTTATCTTCCCAACATACTGAGCATTCGCAAGAAAAAAGTGAATGACAATAAAATTGAGGAATCTTGTGGAGCGATGATGTTGTGGCATCGTGTTTTTATTGGAGTGATTGGAAGATGTGCCAAACGCATACAATAATTGACAATAACAACATCAACATCAATGTTATTAGTACTTTCGTGTAGTGATGGCCTAGGTGGGGATCCAAGGGTGGTCATAGATTGGGAAGAGGAATGCACATTCTGGATAGCAACATGTGCTAAGAGATAAAATGGTGAGAATGGTAATAAGATACACATGACGTTGTCTTCATTTAAATGAACCTTGTCATAACTAATAAAGAAATGCAACTCAAAAAGAGGACGGACTCTAATCATTACAACATTCAAATAAAATATTTCATCAATTGTCTCAAGCTTTCACTTCTCTATTCTCTAATCTAATCATTTAATAATAGAACTATACATAAGAATTATGTAGATGATATATTCATAACATAATAAATTACATCCATTGTTTCTAGATCTACACCATTTCCGTACTGAATGTAGCTACCTAAGAAATAAGCAAAAATGTACACAACCCGGTAATAAAACATTGGATGCAGACTTAAATATCTCTGTGCACAACTCACACCATAGGAATCAGTAGCAACATATTTTCAAACCCAAAAGAGAACTGGAAAGTTTCTCATTATTGGAATAAACATCATGAAAAAGACACCCACGTAAACAAATGCAAGCATATCTTTGCTGAAAGTTGAAGCAGAAAAAAAATTGATTGTGAAAACATTATGCATTGATATGATATAAGTTAAAGTTTGATGACATTTCAATTATCTCCTCGAACCCTTAAAAGTTTGCAGGTAAGAAAAAAAATTTTAGCATATAAATCGAGGTAAGACAACTAAAAATAAGAAAACCACTTGTGGTTGAGCAAAAGGGATAAGTTCGAGGAAGGGGGTTTTCATCAAATACCTGCCTATGCATATTTCAGTAATTCAATGATGATGAAATTCATCCAGTAAACTACATTAATGCCAATCAGCTAGATCAATTCCACGTATAAATAGTAATCAAGTAATCAAACTATGCATTGTGTCAAATAATATAATGTCCATACTATTTCTAAGCGAAAAATTAGATTACTGTCATAAAAATAATAATATTGAACTCACGGGGAGTTACTATAACCCCACTTCTATATGAACAGCCAGAGGGCGAAATCCTGACGACCTCAGAGCCAGAAACTAAACTGTATGCTTTGAAGAACGCAGTAGAACCCTAAATTTAACTACAATCAAGCACAATTCACCAAGATTTTTGATTTGTTTATAGCCTTCAAGTATTGATGCTTCTGAGAACTATCATTCCCAACACCCCACTTATACAACTAAGTAGCCATAGTAGTCAATTGTATAATGATGAAATGTTACAAAGAAAACTTCATAAACAACCAATGTAACTAAATATTGAAACTAACAACTAATAAAACTTAAAAGCTCTCTATTGATTTAAACATACCTCTTAGTAACTACTAGCCAATCAAGTATATATGATTTTTAGTCATTGAATAAACAAAGTATAGATGGCTCATAAATGAAGACCCAATAGTTGAAGGTAGCACCCAAAAACCAAAAATAGAAAAAGAGATAAGGAAGAAGGCAAGAAACAGTCAAACAACAGAAAATCCCGCATAGGAATACCTCGCTAGCTCTAGGGACTCTCTGTCACAATAATCAACCCTTTACAAAATCGAAAACCCTGAGATATCAAGCAAACCCCCCACGACACTAATGTATGGCATGCCTTTTCCAACAAGTTTGTCCAATTCAAACTTCAA